AATATTGCAATTTTAGTGTTTTTATGAAATTTATCAACACTTAATTTGTAATGTTTGATAGTGATTAAATTCAAATCCTATATTTTTAATTATTATTTATTTGCAAAGCACATTATAATCAAAGAAGTGTCTGATAATGTCTGATAATTAATGTGTTTTAGAAACAGTCTATTTGTCACTTTGGTATGTGTAAGTAAATAAATGTATTTATGAATAAATAAATATAAATTATTCAAATAATGAGTAAAAATTATAAATAATTAAACGCCAAAAAAAAAAATAGATATGCTGATATCTACGCTATTGTTATCTGAAAAAACATCTATTATTATTTTCTAGACTCTTATAAATTACTAAGTTCAGCTATTTTTTATTATAATTAATTAAACTCGAAAAATGATCAATAATATTTAGCAAAATTGTTTAATTAGTATTTTTTGCTCCCTTTAAGCAAAGAACTTTTCATGCAATTATTATATTTTTTGTTAAAAAATTTTAATAATTCATTTTGAATAATTGAAATCTCTTATTCTCAGTTTTTTCACAAAAAATTGTTCTTATTTTTTGTTAAATTAACAGAAAATATAATGCATTTTGACGTAAGTAAATGACAAATTTAATTTGTATTTGAATTTTGAATATTTGCAAATAATTGTATAAAAAATTATTACATTTGATATTTTTCTTTTAGAAAACTATTAAATTTATAATTAAAAAATTAAATTAGCAAAAAATTTTTAATGATTAAATAGTGCAAAAAACAAGTTTTTTAAAGGATCTCAAACCGAAACGGGAACGAAACGAACCACTGTGTGAAAGTAATCGTAATACTGTCCACATGAATACACCAACTGAGGAGTACGATCCTCCATTTTTTGTCGAAATTCGTTGTAAAAGTATTTCTAATTACGAAAAACAGCAAGGACTCGTTCCAATTAGGCCACAAGTATTATATTTCAATAATAATAAGAATAATCAAAATAACTAATAAAGCAAATTTTTATTTTTAATAACAGTAATAATCACAATTATGAATAAACGCAACAAAACGAACCATTTCTTCACGTATTTTCTATTTCGAAAAAAAAATTATTAAATTTAACAAATAAAATTGTCGTAGAAAAGTTATTAATGCTTAATTTAATAAATAGTTACTTAAAAGGAAAGAAAAGATCACTTGAATATTCGAAAGTTATTAAATTCGTTCTGTAATCATTTATCACTTATAATTTCGTATCCTGATCACATTGCAATATGTTAGTATGATTAAGTATGACTAATTTTTGTCTTTGAAATTGAATTAAATGATCTAATTTCCACAATAGCAACTTACTTATAAGGCCACTAGCTAAATTGAGTAAATATACTGAATAACTAAGCTATATTAATAAGCAATAAAATGAAGTCAAAACTTTGTTTATTGATATAGCCTGCTTTTAATAACAATGAAAAAGATAAGATAATAACTGACTTGTTAAGATGTATAGATGAACTGATCTGAAAAAATTCTTAAAAACTGAATAGTGCTCATAAATTTTTAACAGAAAAATCATATCAAACACAAGTAATTTTCAGACGTGTGTACAAGGTATGTTACGTTGTGTGCAAATTTATAAAGATCAGCATTTTTCACGTCGACGAGTTGGCTCTCATAGTTGGCATCCGTACACAATTCCAAACGTGCCGAGCTCTTGTGAATGCATGTGGCCTGTGGATAAATATGGACATCAGGAACTTTGATCTTTCTTTTGAAACCATCAGAAAAAGTGAGTAATTTTTATATTATTTTTTTATTATTTGAACATAATAAAAATTAAGACTGTATAATCATGTATAAAATTCCAACTTTGCATGCTGACTAATAATCTCACTTTACCTAAAATAATTAAAACACAAAAGTTTAAAGTCAGCGCAAAAAAATATTCAACAAGCTTACTTATTAAATCATAAAATTTGCTGCAAAAAGTAATAATTTACTGAAAAACAATTTTTTCTCTGTTAATAAATTAAATTTATTAATTCTAAAATTTCTTAACTTTGTGCAATTGTAAATAAAAATATTCCAAAATATAATGAATTGTATTTTTAGTGCAGAAATTCGCTCTTTCTGAAGTTTTGTTCTATTGCACAAAGCACAATGACAAGTGTACCTCAAGAAACGGTACTTCAGCTTGTAAGCAATAATTCCATATTAATCAACTACAATGTCTTTTTTAGTCAAAGTTTGTGAGATTCGCATGAAAACTATTAAAATTATGCAAAGTTGGGGCACATAATTTGATTATGTATTTAGTAAAACATTTATTCACATCTGCATTATCTGCGATTTCAAAAATTTCGATCCAAATGAATAAAGATTAAAATTGTTCAAAAGTAAAAAATTGAAAAAATTATCATTAAGAAAATTGCAGCAAAAAGAATTTATGCTTTTCATACAACGTATATTTTTAATTGTTTACGCAAAAATACACTTCCTACTTATGAATTTATTATTTCTCATGCTTCAGTATAATAAGTGTAAATGCACAATGCTCACATTTACTTCATTGATATTTATAACTATGATTTATCATAATTATTTATTATTATTATCATTATTATTATGATCATTATCATCATAATAATAATTATTATTTAGTTTTGATATTTTTTATTATACTAATTTTAATTTATATTTTCATGATTTTCTTTTGTATTTGATTATTTTTTTCAAATATTGATACTTGCTTGTTAAATGATAATGTCAACGAAAATATTTATAACAGTAATAATAATATTACTATTTAATATAATGATTACTAATTTTGATAACAAGAGCATCTATAATATTACTTGTGATAATGGAAGTAAGCAATGTATATTAGCAGGTATAATTTTAAAAATTGAGATAAATTAGCATTATTTTCTGTCATTTTGCATGAAAAAAAGATTTTAAAACTTTAATTTCATATTATTTATATGACTAATTTTTATTTTCAGAAAATTAGTTGCTAAAATGCGTTATTATTTATTAGTCACAGTTGTTTATTATTGAAGCAAAGAATTGATACTTCCATAACAATCAAATAAGTTAGTTAAGTTATCATTCATTTTTTGTCATGCTAACTTTTATCGTTTTTCTTGTTATTTCTCTAATAATTGCGCAAATTTTTATGATTGCTACACTTTGTAAATTGTAATTTTTGTAATATTACATGAACTGAGTTTATTTTTTTGAACAATAACAAATTTCTGAATCAAAAATTATTTGACTAATGTAGCGTTAATGTCAAGGATAAAATGATTTTATATAAAGCAATAATTCTGTAAAAATTATCATTAAAACTTAGTTGAATTATAAAGTGAATTATTTGAGCAATCAAATTTCTCAAGCATTTTCACGAAATGAAAATTTGCATAATCAAATTTTATCACTTTATCAAATTGCAACAACATAGCACTAGTCCGAAATTCACTATAACACTAATTTATTCTGATGAATTATTGATTTCAGTCAACAAACCTCAATAACCTTTCTTTCTAATTAAAAATTTTTTCAAATAATACACTTCAGAAGTTGTATGAATTTTATCGAGTTGGTTAAACATGTATGATTTCCGTATAATCTTGAGGAGATTTAACAAACATGTAAGAGATTTCACCTTCATTTTTTTAAGTAAAAAGTATGTAAATTCTCTTTTACTGTTCGTTTTTGTCTATTTATTGTTTGGAAATATTATTTTTACACTGCGATATAATTAAATTATTTCTAGCTTTTCATTACTGCATGCATTTTACTTTTCAGTATTAACATACCATTTAACTCCAAAAAAGTATAATTCAAAACAACCATCATTTTCGAGAAAAGATGTTGAATGAAGCAAAAAATCTTTCATGTGGCAAATTCCTCAAGCAAATCGTACAGTTTAAGAACTTCTGAAACAAAAAAGATGAACATAATTTCTGTCATCACCTTTGTAAAGTAAACAAACAAGTAATTGAAGTAATAAATTTGCTCACATCAAAATATTCCGAGATTTTGCATCGTTTTGCTAGTCAGTTTATTACTTCATCAAATATCCTAGTCCATTCTAAAGTATCTCAGTGATATTGCATTTCTGAGATTAAGAATTTAGATATGTTTGTTTAAATTTGTTGTAAATAAAATTTTATAATTAACAAACTGATTTTTATACTTTGAGATTTCTCGCAAGAATCATGTAGACTTTACAAAGTTAAATATTTTAGAAGTTATCGTAGAAGCAAAAAAGGATAATGCTTGAATAAGATATTTACTTTCTACATAAACTAATGACAAAGATAAAACTTACTATATATGATAAAAATCAGAAAAGTGAACAAGAAATTATTGGGAATTAAGCATACAAACTTGCGTACTTAGCTCAAGTATTTTTCTATCTTTATGATTGATTAAAGAGTGTATAACAAATTTTCATCAAAAAAGAGATGTATTTATTGCAGAATTAATAGATACTGAACAAGAAAGAAAAGTAAACGGAAATGTAGGCTTGTAATACTAAAACCATATTTGTTATATGGTTCTGCATATTTGTTCATTTCATTTATACTTACATCTATCTCTTTAAGCTTTTACAAAGATTTTTCAATTTCATATGCATAATAAACTACTCGGGTATGCAGGATTCAAATTTATAGCAGTAATAATCAGATTATGTTTAAGCACACCGAAAACACTGAAATTACCTGATTCTCATCTCTCTTTATTTTTAAGTAATTTCAGTTTAGAGTCGGCATGTTTCCATTCAAAATCAACAGCTGTAAACATTTTTCAGCACCACAACAAGCTGAAATCCTACACATATGCGCTGCATGATTAATCAACATTCACGAAAAGTTGAATATTACTTTTGCGCATAAACACTTAAAAAGAGCTCTTATTCAGTTTATATCAAAAACAATCATTTGAAAAAGTGTCACATATAAAGATATCAAATACTAACACATCGAAAAATATGTACGAACCACATAACAATGATAAACATGGTGCGAAAACGACTTTTATGTAACAAAAGTTTAGTACATAAAATCGAGCTCCAAATATGTATAACTAGGATTACTGAAAAAATAATAAGTAATAAGCAATTTCCCGCACCCGCACTACTTTTTAAAATTCTTCAAATTGATTGCTTCAGTAAGTAATTCAATATAACATTTGATTTGAATAACAGTTCTCTTCAAAGACGACTCATTACGGCAGTCATCAACCATCCGGGTATCCGGAACCAGAGTGGGAAAAGTGCCCCAATATGAGATAAGCCCACCTGTCCAAGAACATACTTCAATCCGCGGATACTATCTGGTTGCCTGCCATTGACGTCACGAAAACCATAGTCAATGCCAAGATCCGCCGTTGTCCAAATTCTTCCCGTTTTCTTCAGCAAATTTCGATCGGTAGCTAATGCAACGATGGCTTTGCCAGTAAATTCTGGTGTTTCACCTTCCTCCACTAATTTTTGTAACATTTTCAAATGGTTATTGTCATTAAAACGACCACTTTCTGCATATTTCCCGAATAACTAAATAAGAAACTTTGAACATAAAATATATTTTGATGGAATACAAACTTATCTTCGAATATTCTCAAAATCAAGATGATATTGCGGCAATTTAAGAAACAGGAAGGACAAAAGATTATAATCAAGTAGAAATATTAACACGTCTTCAGCTTCAACAACAGATTTCCGTTTTGCTTTCAACACTGCTAGCGAGTAGTCATAAAACCATCTCAACTTTCTATCTAACGGTGTATAACTACTGATATTTGAACTAAAAGTATTGAATTTTTTTTCGTCATCTAAACTTATTGCAATAAGTTTTGAAAAATGCATCCTACATATCTAGTTTTGGGGTGCATATAGGGGGGAGAGGGTATTGTCAATATATATATATATATATATATATATATATATATATATATATATA